GGAGGATACATCCGCTTCGACTTGTCTCAACAGGAGCGGCTGGTAAGAGGGGAACAAATAAACACCGATTTTTGAATTGGCCCTGTTCAACACTGGTTCTCCACTTGTGAAGTAACTCCCTGCTCTCCATGTGTCAGTATATAATGCCTGCATCTGTAACTTTCACTCTATGCATCCGAAGAAGTGAGGTTTTTACTCACGAAAGCTTATGCCCAAATAAATCTGTTAGTCTTTAAGGTGCCACCAGACTCCTTGTTGTTTTTGTAGATACAGACTAACACGGCTACCCCCTGATACTTGAGAATCTCCACTGGTGAACTGAGCCTTCCAAGAACCCCCAGTGCTATGGAGCTCCCTCCACCCAATCCCATGAGATGGCTGATGTGTCCAAAGGGAGACAACACTCAAGTTCATTTGCTACCACGCCGTATTTCCCTCCCTGGTCACTAACGTTCCTTCCCCACCCAGAGATGTTTTCTCTGAGGAGCATCAGCTCTGGGTTCACCCATTTTGCATTTACTGATTTTCTTTGTTTTCTTGCCTGTTTCAGGCAGGGCCGCCCAAAGGATTCAGGGGGCCTGCGGTCTTTGGCGGTGGGGGTCCTTCCACTCCGGGGCACTTTGGTGGCGGGTCTCGGAGCGAGTGAAGGATCCGCCGCCGAATTGCTGCCGAAGACCCGGAGCACAAGAAGCCGTCGCCACCAAATTGCCACTGAAGACTCAGAGCGGGTCCTTCAGTCACTCCAGGTGTGTTCGGCGACACTGAAGGACCTGCTACTGAAGACCCACCAAAAATTCTTGTGGGGGCCCCTGCAGGGTCTGGGGCCTGGGGCAAATTGCCCCACTTGCCCCCCCCCCCGGGTGGCCCTGGTTTCAGGGAATGTTGATTGGTCTTTAAAGACCATCAGGTGATGCTCCTGCGATAAGGCAGGTGTGAGCCTTCAGCTAACCCAACAGGCCAACAGGTGCTCAGTCTCTTTGGAGACAGTGAATTTAATAATTCCTGTGAGTCTCCGAGCATCAGGACTGGGAACTTCAGGGAGATGCCTCTGGGGACACCAATTGGGACCTGCAAGGCCAGGTTTGGACTAGCAGATCTCAAGGAGTTTGCTGGCAAGGCCGACAGGTGGGAATGTCAGGGAGGTGACGGACATTTCAGCAGCACCATAGCTCTTCCTTGCTGAGGAGAGCATCACAGGGTCTTAGTTGCTAACACGACCTCCCTTAACAAACCAGCTCTCCTGGACAGGAGCTCCCTGATTGCCCAGAGCAATCACATTGCAATGGCCGAGCATTTTAACTCAACGACCCTCTTGTGCAATTCTCTTCCCACCTTCCTTCAGAAGTTCAGCCGAAGATGGAGACCAACTGACCACAGTGAAGGTAAAGAATCCCCCATCCAATGTGGAGTCTGCAGTCTGACCTAGATGCCAACCCCCCAGTATCAGACAGGATTCATCAGGTCTACAGACAGATTGCTCAGTGCATTGCAGACATACCGGTCAGTAGCTCACAACCCCTCCAGTCTGCAGGCCAGATATCTGAACAGCCATCACCTGACCCAAGAGGTGTTGATGGAAACATGACTCACCTGTCAGATGGATTGAGAGGGGAGCACTTGGCCGTGACTGGATCATTCTCCCTGAGACACTGATCTCATAGCTGCAGGTGTAAGGGCCGGTAGCATCCAAATCAGATTGACGGAGCTGGAGACGGGCACCCGGCTGTGAGACAATGACATTCCCCTGCCTCAGAAACTGGTACCTTGCAGCCACATGTCCCTGAGGGGCCGAGCATATGATGGTAACAGGGCTCTTCCCGGGGGGATCAGAATTCGCAGAGATGGATGGAGCAAGAGGGAAATCTGTGAAGAGCAACAATAGGAGAGAAGAGGGAGTGTTAATGTACTGAGAGTGTGGAAATAGCAGAGCAATTGTGGATGAGGAAGTGGGGTCTAGAGGTCAAATCGAGGCATGGGCTGGGAGCCAGGACTCCTGGGTTCTATACCCCGTTCTGAGAGGGAAGTGAATTTCAAATTTTGAAAGCCTGACACAACTAGAAGGAGGAGAAACAGGTAGTGAAACTGAGCTGATGCCCTTGACAGCAGCTAGATTGCTGGTTGTGTCTCAGCCACTGTAGGGGGAGAAATGCCAGTGAACCCAGCTCAACCAGCGCTAGGAAACAGATGCACCAGTTGCTAGGCCAAGCAGGGATGGCTACGCTCTGAGATGGTTTCCCACCCAGACTCTGCTCCCTAGTACGGGCAGGGGTATGCTTTCGGGATCCCCATCACAGCAGTGAGCCCCAGCTGAGCACCCCTGTTCTGAGCAGGGAGACCTGCAGAGAGCTGCACCCTGATTTCATTGCAGAAGCCATATCTCCCCCCTGGGAGCTGAGCATCGGAGAGTAACATGCTCCCCAGGGAGATAGACAGAATGCTTAGGGGCTAGAGAGAGCATGAGAGCTGGCTGCCCCCTGCACCCCAAGGGGCTGTGAGAAAGCGTCCTAGGAGATGCTGGTTCAAACCGAACTCCTTTAGGGCTTGATGAGGTTGAAAGGAAAAGGCCCCCGGCTTGCACTCCAGAGGCCGTGCTCACGCAGTGTGGCCAGCCCAGTGCTTGTGGTGGGACCACACGGACAAAATATACAAAGAAAATAGACTGAAATAGATCTCAGTCATCATTGTTCTTACTTGGCCTAGTGGTAAATTTCAGTTATGAAGGTTGGAAATATTTCTCTGTTGTGTTGTGTGTGGGCAGCGAAATCGGTGTTTACCGACAAAAATCGAATACAGAACGGACTCCTGTTCCGGACTACATCTGCCAAGATGCACAGCGCTCACCCCTCTAGTTGAACTGCTGCAATGCAACATGGGGGGGCTTAGTTCTGAGAGGGGGGCTGGCCAGGAATGGAGAATGGGAGCACGAAACACCAGAACTGAAACTCCCATCAGGCACCACAGCCGCTCTGGGCAGTTACAGGATATGAAGAGAGCCAAAAATAAAGGATTTTGTAGCAAGAAGGAGGAAAGGGTCTCATTCTGATCCACAATGTTTAACAAAATGGTTTGATGTGTCTGCAATGAATTTCAACCCTCCCCTCCCATCCCATGCAAGGACTTTGGAGGACAGAGTGAGAATTCAAAGAACCACAAGCACTATTGAACAATGTGCAGTATTTGCAGTCAAAGGCCAGAACGGACCATCATGAAGCTCCTTCAAGCCAGAATCAATCCAGAGACCTAAAATCTAGCCACGTTCTTGAAATCTACAATCGGCCTCACCACCAGCTCAGGTGTTGAAGGACTCTCTAGAGCTCAACAGGTTTAGCTTAACCAAGGTGAAGGGGTGATTTGATCTCGGTCCATAAGTTCCTAACACGACTACAGAAATCTGAAACTAGAGGGCTTTTCAATCCAGCAGCCAAAGATCTAACAGAATCCAATGGCTGAACACTGAAGCTAGACAAAATTCAGACTGGGAATAAGATGGAAATTTTCAACAGGGAGGGGAATTCACCACGGGAAGAATGTACCCATGGTCGTGGTGGATTCTCCATCACTGGCCATTTTTAAAACAAGGGTGGATGTTTCCCTAGAAGATCTGCTCTGGTTCAGACAGGAATTACGCTGGGGACATCCAATGGCGAAGGGACTAGGTGATCACAGGGGGCTTTTCTGCTTTGAGAATCTGTGAGATGGTTTTGGTTTGTTTGGGGGAGGGGTTCTTTATTTTTGGGGTAGGTGGAGCGAAGACAACAGGACCCTCCACCAAGGGCAGGACACCCTGGGGGTGGAAGTGAGCAGGCTGGTGATCCTCCCCACACATGAGGGGCTGGGGTCTTACACGTGATGGGGACGGGGCAGGGAATCCCCTCTTAGACAGCAGGAGAAAGGGGACTCACCCATCACTGGTACCCAGACAGGCTGGCTGCGTGTAGAGTAGATGGACTGTCCTTCTCTCACTGCCCAGTACTCACAGCTGTATGTCCCGGCCTTCCCCATCTGAGCTGTCAGGACCAACCAGGGCCCCACAGACAGGCCAGTGGTTTCTGTGAAGACCCGTTCCCCGCGCTGATTGTAGAAGTGGTAGCTGCTCACTGCCTCCCCGGCAGGGGCCGAGCATCTGAGGGTGAGACGCTCCCCTGGGAAATACACAGGGTGCTGGGGGTCCACGATGACTGTGGGGGCTTGCAGGGGAGCTGCGGGAGGGCAGAGAGATTCAGGAGATATTACGCTTCCCCAGCCTAGTGCTGCCTCCCTATTCCTGCCCCCCTTGGCTGTAGCCGGCAGCCCCTCGCAGCTCTCCGTTCCTCCCACACAACAAACACCTGGTGTCTGCACCCTACAGGCCCCAGAGCTCTGGCTGCATCTCTCCTGGCCTCACACCCCCCAGTGCTCCATGGGGAGGGGGCAGGAGCCCCTGTCACCTCTAGGGGGTTCTGGTTCCCGCCTGGCCACGCCACACATCACGGGCTCCGCCGGGCATGGCGCAGCTCAGTCAGCTCCGTGGGGGTGCTGAGATGAGGGGAGTGGGGGTGGGGGTGGGGAGATGAGAGGAGATGGCAGCTAGGGAGAGAGACCTCCCCCCATGGAAACCCCCCAGCTCAAATTCCCCCCCCCCACCTCCCAGCTTGCAGCCAGCGCTGCTGAGATTTCACTCAGCATGTGGCCCTGGGGCCAGGATTAGAGTCTGTTTTTGGGGTGCTCAATTTCAAGCAGCTCAAAGGGGCCTGGTTCTAAGCAGGGGGGTGGGGTGGCTGAACCCTATCAGAGAATCCAGCCACTATAAGGCCTCCAGGGGACCCCAGAAAATTGAGCCCCCCACAAATGACCAGTCACTTTGGGAAGTCTTCCTGGGGCTCCCTGCAGGTCCCAAAGCTGGGAGCTGAGAGGAGCAGAAACAGAGTGAGACGCACTCAGAGGTGGGGTGGGAGGTCCCTGCACACACTGCCTGGGACCCCACAGTGAGTAGCCAGGCACACAAGGGCATACTGGAACCAGTGTCTCCTGTCTGGTCCCATTCCCTAATCCACTGACCAGCCAGTTCCTCTGGGGCAGGATCAGAGCTGGCAGTCCCTAGAGGTGAAAGGCCCCATGTCCCATTCTCTGACCCAACCAGCCAGACCCTCTGCTGTGGAGCCAGACTGGAACTTGAAGTCTGACCGATGGGGTGACCTCTTTTCATGGAGGGGACCCACCTGGATGGACAGCTGTTCTGTGTGTGGATCAGGTCCCTCCTTACCTGCAGGTGACACCAGCCGGGGAAGGATCTGGAGAGAAGCTGAAGGAGAGAAGAGGAGAGACGGGGAGTGAGAGCTCCGGGAAGGGCACAGTAGGGAAGGGAGCTGGGGAACAGGGAATGTAATTTAGGTAGACGTGGGTCCAGGTGGACGAGTCTCAACATCTATTTCACTAGGGGAGAGCGACAGGCAGTAGGGAAACGGGGAAGGAGAGACAGGCTGAAGGAGGAGTGCAGGGTCACTCACCTAGGAGATGGAGGAGCTCCATGCTGGGTGTAACAGGATGCTGCTGCCGGGTGAATCTGCTCCTTCAATGGGCTACATAAATAGCAACCGAGCTCCTACAAATATCTGTGACCATCCGTCCCATGAGGCGAGACACTTCCCCAAAGTCTGCACATCTGAGAGAGGAACCAGCTCCTGGGATGGGCCAGCTGGTGTCTGAAAGGAGCAGGGACAGGTGATGATGATGCAGCTTCAAGACCTGTTGATCGCTGGAGAACCCTGGTGTCGGGGATGGAGAAACCTGATGGATTAATGGGGGAGATGGAATGAAAGAGTGAGAGAGGGAAAGGGGGACTGAGACAGAGGCAAAGAGATGAAGGAAGAGACAGGCTGCTTCACAAATAGAGGAAGTGAAAGGGAAGGAGGAAGTGAAAGGGAGTAAACAGATGAATGACAGAGCGGGAGTGAGAAAAGAAAAGAGTGAATGAGACACTGACAAAAGGATGAGTGAAGAGGGAAAAGAAAAGACAGTACCTGAAGAAGAGGAGAGATGAAGATGGAGAGAGTGAAAGAGAAAGACACAGCAGGAGAAGTGTAGAGGGAGGTCACTGACTGAGACAAAGAGGACAGTAAGAAACAGAATGATTGAATGAGACACAGCCAGAAGGAGGAGTGGAGAGGCGACTGTGAGAGAAGGAGGGGCAGAGAGAGGGGGAATGAAATTCTGACACACACGGAAGGAATGTGTGAATGAGGGAGAGAGAGATGGAGGAGTGGGGAGGATGAAGAGGAGGGTGGCAGAGCGAGGCAGGGAAAGGGGGAGATGGAGGGAAGGCATGAATGAGGCAGGCATGGAAGGAGGGGTGCAGGGTGAGTCATTCACCTGGCACAGGGAGACAAATTTAGCTCCGTGCTGGGGGGACCAGTCTGAGCTTTGAAGCTGCACCCGCAACCCCCGTCTCCTGCGAGCCGCCTGATCCCCTCTGATCACAGCCAGAGGAAGTGCTGCCTAAGGGACAGAGCCGCCTCCCTGCCCCACCAGCGAGGCACCACACACTATTGGCCGACCACGGCCAGGCTGGGGGGCTCTCAGCATGTCTTGCAGCTCCCAGTCGCTCTGCAGGGCCTGGTTCAACAATAGCAGAGGGGTCAGCTACAGGGTAACCAGGTAACGGCTCCTCGCTCCATCCATTACCCTGGCCAGGTACAGCAGGGGTCATGGGCCCAGCACCTAACTCGCGCTCCCGGCTGCGAAGGGCCATGGGGCCAGCACTGGGACACGGGGTCAGCACTGACTCAGAACATGTAACTGGACAGAACTGAATTAGACCTGCTCTTCTCACCCAGCTCACCAGTCACTGCTCTCAGGCGAACGCTGCATGGGCAGGGGTCACGGACGTGTCTCAGCCGGCAGCGTCACCCAGCAGATGAGTCATGTTTCTTTTTACAGGAACGGAGATGGGGCTGGTGGCTGAGCTAAAGGAACAACCTCACTCCAGGGACCGTTCAAACTGATGCAGAGGTGGAGTTTGGCCTAATTTTGCGTGTCTTTTTATTTATCCCTCTGTCTCTCTGTGTCCTGTCCCTCAACCTCTTCCTTCCTTTGTAGTACAATGGACGAGGCGTCTCTCCTCCCAGGTCCTCTGCTCCCCACGCTCTCCCACTTCGTCCCATCCCCCTACTGAGTCCCCATCCTGCTCTCCAAACTGTTCTCCTGATTTCAGTGACATCACGGCTAATTTGGGGTGTGACAGTGGAGTCTGAGGTGGCTTTGCAGCTGTTTCTGGGGAGCTCTTCTCAGACGTGCGGGGCAGGCTGGAGAAAGCACAAAGAGACTTATCTGAAAATTCACACGTGTGCCATGTGGGTTGGCATTGTGGGCAGATGTGACTTGCTGAGATAGAGGTAGGGTTTGGGCCTGTAACGAAGAGAAAACTGAAGCAAAACAGAGACTAAGAAGAAAATTAAAAGGGTTTCATTGGGACTAGGAAATTTCCCTCCTGAGCTGACCCCGACAACCTGCGCCAGAGAGAAAGGACAGCCAAGGAAAGGCCCTGACTTCCTGGGGTTAGCTCTGATGCTGCTGCCGAGATCCTGCTGACAGACTGCTCCCCTAAACACCCCCTCTGGGCTCATTAGCCCTGGCACCCCTTGAGACCCCGACATGCCCCAAATTCCCCAGCTCCAATCAGAGCCTCTTAACGTTCTCCCAGATAAGCCCTTTGTTGTCCCGGCCGTTATATCTGTGTCTGGCCAGTTTCTCAATATTACACCCAAGGGAAGGGATGCAAGTGCCACAAGCCACTGATGGGCTGATTCCTTGTCATGGTCTCTTCCCGGACCCCAGACTGGCTAAAGGACCCCCAGAGTCATGGGGGGTTCTTGTGCAAAGTGGAAGCCAGTGTCTGAATGAGCTCCCCTTTGCCATCCAGCAATGAACTGGGTGTGGGGGGGGTCAGTCTTCGGGAGCAGTGCGTCTATTTGCATCGACACAGCTACTCTACCTGGGTGTTCAGTAGCCAGGGCTGCTTTGCCAGTGATCAGTTGGGGCCATTCCGGGATGAAATTCCCTGTAGGATTGAACACCAGGGTAATGAAATGTCGTGTCTTTAATTGTACAAGCAAAGGGCAGCAGAAGTGTCCTTAGCAGGCCCTGATTGAGGGCATCACCAACAGTCATGGTGGATTCTCCATCACTCGCAAGTTTCTAATCAGCAGTCGGGGAGTTCCTAGTAGTTCTGCTCTAGGGATTGTTTTAGGGAGGTGTTACACAGGGGCTCAGATGGGATGATCACAGATTATGAAGCCAGAAGGAACCATTATGAGTAGCCCCATGGCTATGGAACTCATCTAGAATGGAGAAGACCGAGGCTCAACTGCTTGACACAGACCAGAGACCTGAAACTGGGTTCTCCACATCCAAGAGCAGGCCAGTGAAAAGAAATTTGGGGCCCCGTACATCATGTTCACTTGAGTCTCACTCTCTCCCCTGTTACAGACATTTTGGGGGGTGGGGTGCAATTCAAAACTGTTCTGCAATTGTTTCATCTGCATGTGGCAAAGAAAAATATTTGAAATCTCAAAACATTTCCCAGGCTGGGACAACCCTTTCCCACTGACTCTAGAGGTGGGTTCAATTCCTGACTGGGGAAAATGGAGGCAAGGGGAAGGAAAGTGCAAGAGTTTGGAAAGATCAACAAAAATATTTTGGAGGCGGACTGCGGATTTATAATCCGTATAGATACCCCCCCATGGGGGAATTCCCAAGTCCAGAAATGATAACAAAGGGGTGTCACTAAACGTCACTTATTTTGTAGCGTCTTAGGTTTGAACTTTTGCTCCTTGACTCTAGCAGAACCCTAGTTAGTGGCTGAGAATCTCACTGGACTCAAAGTAGTCAAATAAATCAAGACCTTTGTTGTGCAGGGGTGGACACTGGAGAGAGGCTGGAAGTCAGAAGAGTTGAGAACTCCAGGGACGGGAAAGAGAGAGAGAGAGAGAAAGGCAGGGGGATAAACAGAGAGTCAGCCACTGACCCAGAACAATGAGAACACGTTCAGTCCTTGTGGTGTCTTGAATAACCTGTGGTTTGAGGTTGTTCTTTCTGCTCAGTTGCCTGTCCCGTCTCTGCTCTCATAAAAAACAACAGCTGCTTCCCCCTTAGGCCACGTGGGGATGAAATGACCCTAGCCCCAGGGATCGCAGACATCTGCTCCTGGTTAGTGCTACCCGCTGAGACACAGCGGGGCATAAAATAGCACACCCTGCAAATGCAACATATGTCTGAGACGTGCAACCACAAGACTGAAGTGACCACCTTAGCTTAAACTAGGATGTCTTGCAACACAGGCTACTTTGCAGGTTGGGGGAGGGGTCTCAATGCGTCTCAAATGTCCCACTGCAACTCTAGAGGGTATTGGATTGCAGAGGGCAGAGAGTAGCTCTGTAGGGGGCAGTCTCTCCTCACACCCAGTCCTGGCCTCCATGTCATCATTCAATACTAGGGGGTGCCGTGCTGCAGAGAGTGGTTGGGAGGTTCAGTAGAAGGTGCTGTCCCCTAAACATCAGCATTGATCCCCATGTCCTATATAATACAAACAAGTACTTCCTCTTCTTTGTATTAAACCTGCTGCCTCTTCATTTCCTCAAGTCACCCCTGGTTTTTTTGTCATGGGAAAGAGAGAAGTAAGCAGAGCGATCTGAGATAGGAGAATGCCTCTAAAATTGAACAGTAAGATCTACACAATGGTTATTAGGCCTGTACATTTGTACGGCTCCAAATGTTGGGGGCTGAGGAAAAGACCGGGTAGATCTCGAATGCTGTGGAAAAGAAAATGTTAAGATGGAATCTTGGAGTTGCAAGGATGGGCCATGCTTGGAATGAACGAATCAGGGAAAGTGTGTAGGTGGTACCGGTTATCGAAAAGCTGAGGGACTCCCAGCTTGGATGGTTCGGGTATGTGAAAAGAAGAATATATAGTGTGATGGGGCAAGGCCAGATGGCTACAGTAAAGTAGTGAGGAACAGGTATGTTAGCCCCAGGCTAAACAAATCCCTGGTACCATTGTTACCAAATGGCATTTGCCTCAGGTTAATCAAGACACCTGGGGCCAATTAATATCCTTCTAGAAGGCAGTGGAGATTGCTAGATTAATTGGGACACCTGAAGCCAATCAAGGACTGGCTGGAACTAGTTAAAAGCCTCCCAGTTAGTCAGTGAGGTGCATGTGTCAGGAGCTGTAGGAGGGAGCTGCGCTGTTGGAGGAATGAAGCAGTACAAATCCATATTAGGTGCAAGGAAGGAGGGCCTGAGGTAACGGTGAAGGAGATGTTGAGTGGGGGCTGCTGTGGAGAAGTGGCCCAGGGAAGTGAACACATCCTATTTCCAAAAAGTCAACTACCATATCTGCTAATTTTAGGATCCCTGGGCTGGAGCCCGGAGTAGAGGGTGGGCCCGGGTTCCCCCTCCCCTCCCTGATTAATCACTGAGACTGGGAGACAACAGAGACGTGTGAGGGAGGGCTGCTTCTCCTCACCTCCCTTGTTGGCTTATGATGAAAATGTCTCAGTAAGCTGTGACCCTTGCCTCTAGAGAGAGAAGGCCTACGTGCAGGGCCTGCTCTAGCTTTTTTGCCATCCCAAGCACAGCAGGCAGGCTGCCTTTGGGGGCATGCCTGCGGGAGGTCCCCGGTCCTGCAGCTTCAGTGCACCCGCTGCTGAATTGCCACTGAATCCACAGGATCGGCAGACCTCCCACAGGCAAGCCGCTGAAGGCTGCCTGACTGCTGCCCTCGCAGGGACTGGCAGGGCGCCCCCTGCTGCTTTCCACCCCAGGCACATGCTTAGAGTGCTGGTGCCTGGAGCCGCCACTGGCTACTTGGAGGGTCACAGTGAGCCTCTGAGGCTAGCAAAATCCACCAGGAAACGCAGGACCCATG